GTCTACTTTGATCATCTAAGCCGGACCGGATTGGTCGCTAGGTCGCCGAGTCGTTAGTCCGACCGGTCGGTCCGATCCAGTTTTTAATACTGTGGATATGATACTAGGGCATCCTACTAACTCTTCTCAATGGAAAAGATTAATAGTCAAACCCAAACGTTGCAAAAGACAGTGGGAACCTATAACTTGCATTATCTATTGATGGAATGAATTCACAAGAGCTTTAGAGTAGTACCCACAACACATTGCCAGTGATTTTGATAAAGCATAACCTACCTCCATAATTATGCATGAAACGCAAGTATGTGATATTGACTTTGTTGATTTATTTCATGGGGTTGTGTGTGTTACTTGAGACTATTATATCGTATTCAAGTGTGTGTGTATATATATATATGGAGTGTAACTTGTATATAACTCTCCTATTGTAACTTTCTTCTCATACAAATGTTGATTCTCAACCTTGTTTAAAAAAACATAATTCATCTGTTTTTTTACGTACTAATTAATTCTGCCACCATTAATTGGCAAACCAATTTCATACAGGAAAATTAGCATGAAGGACCAAAAGATGGAACTTATTTGGCAAAAAAGATCAAATGAAATAAATGGAAGCCTTGAAGGTGTTTTAAAAACCACCTGTAGATTTCAAATCTGCAATGCACCTTCAAAGTTCCCACTCTTTTAATTTACTTTCTGTCTGCCAATTAAATTTTCCTTTTATTTCTTTATACCAATTTTTCCCATTTTATAATTATTACTGGATTATGTATATAATTTTTGTGTAAAAGATCATCTTAAATTACAAGGAGGATCTCTCCCGTTGGCTCCACTCCTGGCCTCATGCACTCGCATCTTGGCCCACCCCCAAGATGTAAGTGCAGGGTGGGCTATGAGGGTCCACCAGGAGAGAAAACCGGTATAAGTTGCATCGCATGTTAAACATTAACATAATAACTTACACGTGAAAATAAAGATTTATGTGGAAGATACAATGAATATTCGTAGAAATATTTCATCGACATACATATATTTACTTGCAAGTCCACAAGTCATTATAAAGACTTGTTGATGTAGGTGAGTCTCATCGAATTAAAAACAAATTTGTACTATTAATTTTTCTGTGATGCTGGGGTACGAAATGCTCATAGCCACCAAAAAGGGCGTTAATTAGAAAAAATTCATCGGATTTTTTTTTAAAGGACAATGTGTTTTTGAAGCCCAGCAAAATCAACTAAGAGGGAAAAGAGAAATATCTACTTTGATAAGCAAACTATTTATGGGTACACTGATTAGTGACCAGATTAGCATCTAATAATTCAATTATGAATCTGTCACCATTTATGCAATGACTTTATTCCTCTTTTGGTACGTGCCACCTAACATTATAATTTTCTTAGCCTTCTAGAAATCAAGAACTCGAGGATTGTAGGTTTGGTATCTGTCAATGTCACGTCTAAAATTTAAAGGCATATTTGGTTATTAAAAAAATAAAATAAAATAGATTGAATAAATAAAGATAAAAATAAGATGATAAAAAAATAGTGAGCCACATTATAGAGAAATAAGGTAATTTAGTTTATGAGATTGAGAATCAAAATTCATAAAATTTTTAGAGGGTGTAATAATTCTCACAGTTATAGTATATATTAATGAGTTTTATCATGCTTGAGAAAAAAGAATAATTTAATTAATTTTTGTGTTATTTTTTTAATCCATTCAATTTTTTTCTAGTAGAACTTAAATTTTAAATTTTTTTCTAGAATTGGGATGGTAGGTTTGGTCTATGATGTTGTTGTGTCTAGAATCTAAATCTTGATGTTTTTGAACAAGAAAATGAATAAATTTAAAAATCACTACCAAAATTTTAAAAGAATAACCTTAGAAACTTTTTACAACAAAACGATCGAAAGATAAAAGTGCATGCCGAATTTATATCTTTTAATTTATAAAATAATTTATTTCCTTATTTGAGAAATATTTTAGAAAACAAATTTATTAAAATTACTGCAGAGATTTAAAAAAATATCAGACACATGAAAGTTAATTGAATTATGTTTATATAAATTTTAAAACCTTACACGATATAAAAAAACATTTTGAATTTTTTAGTATTAAAAGATTTTTGAAGTTATTTCTCTTTTATGAAAGAAAGCCCTTCTTTTATATTTTAATTAAAAAATGAATTTAAAAAAGCTTTGAATGGTACAGACACCAATCAACTATGTATCTACAAAGACTCTAAAAATTCTATACGGTAGAAGTTCAAAATGAAAAAGTAGAAAAAAAGATTGAAAATCCTTTTCAAAGAAGAAAAACTTATTCCTAGTGATAATAGTAAGAGCATTAAACTTATAAGGCAAGGGCATTAAGACAACTAGTCCGTTTTAACATAATAAATAATGGAAGACATTGAGAAGCTTAATTATACATCACCATGAGATCTAGGGAATCTATACCCCTTCCAAAACCCATATAGTCGCGATGGTGTCAGAATTCGTGCGCCATATTGAATGTAATTAATGAAGATGAATGCATTTGATTAAACCATTTCAATCAAACTCATAAACTACATGAACATGTTTCAAAACATTTATGAATAGAACTTGGCTGTCAAACCGATTGGTTACCACCTGCAGGTTTTGATAATTAAATCATTGCTTGCTGCTTTTCTTGGATATCACTTCTGAAAATTATACTTTGGAAAGGGACAAATAATATTGTCACCAACACTACTTCCTACCAAAAAAATAGATGTTTCCACCGACACTAACGAAGCAAATTCCAACAATAAATCTAATGAATTTCTTTAATCATATGGGGCATATTTATCTGCGATTGATTCATTTCTTTAAAAAAAAAAATGTTCACTACAACAAAATATCAAATTTCTCAAGAAACATTTTAATGAAAAACAATCAAAATTCCTAGAGAAAACAAGTTTCTCACGGAATTTCTCTAAAAATAAGTGAGTTAAATTTTGAAAAAAAAATTTTCTCTTAATTTATTTTGAGAGAATCTATTTAATAAACAGCAATTGTCTATATTTTTATCATTTTAATTTAGACTTTTAAATATTTATTTAAGGTTACTTGAGTTTAATTGGATATTATTTGATTTTATTAGCCAATCTTCAAATTTTAAATTTTAACTATCCAAGTCTTTAATTTTAAAATAAAATAATATTTTTAATATTTTTTCACAGTTACTATTTAATTTTATTTTACTTGTGCAGATTTTTTAAATTCAATTTAAAAAATATTGATGGATATTATTTTAAATAAAAAGCATACGGTCATATTTAAAAATTAAGCTAAGAATCAAATCTTCAAAACAATGTTTATATTTATTTTAATTTTTTTAATGTAATTTTTAATTAAAATTTATTTTAAGTTTATTATTAGGTTTTATATTTGTCAAGCACATGGCCGCAAAAGAGACGCACCACTTTTGTGAAAAGGAAGGAGGAGCGGAGGCGCGGCTTGAGTTCCTCTTGTAGCAGTGATCCACGCGCCATCTTTCATTCAATTTTCTTTAGGAGATGGCTACTCATTTTAATGCGCAATGTTGTTTGATTTTTAATTTTATAAACAGCTAAATTTTTTAGTGTAATTAATTATAAATTATAAATTTAAATTTTAATCAGAATTTTTGATATTTAAAAAAAAAATTTATTTCAACTTTATTTTAATTTTCTCTTCTTTTATTTTTAAATTTTATACTTTAGTTGTTATTATTGATTAAAGTAGCTTTTATTGCATGAGTTTTGGATTATATATTTTATCTAAGGTTGACCTAGTTTGAGTTATTACTCTTGCTTTCTTTTCACGTGGTTAGTATAGAAAAGTTGTTAGGTTGTGGGTTGAGAAAGATTTCAATTAATCTATAACTTAATTTTTTATTTAATTCTTGAATAATAATTTAAAAAATATATAATAAGATCAGAATAATTAAGTTAAATAAAATTAGTTTATTTTATGGATGAGAAAGATTAAGTTTAGGTGTTTGGGTTGCGATTAATTGCGCTACTTGTTCTTAGTAATTTTCTTAGTTGAATTTTCTTTATTTATTTAATTTTCATTTATTTTTTTAAATTAATTTCATCATAAAAAAATCCCTCCTATTTATCTTTTCATAATTCTAATTTAAATTGTCAATCAATTGACTCTTAGGGAGACAATCTAGGTTGTGCTTTACTGTAAAATTTAGTTTTTATTAATTTTGGTGCTATTCGGCAGTAGTATCAAAATTTTGACACCGTTACTGGAGAGTCAAGGGTGTTAACTTTTTGAGTTTGGCTGTTAGTTTCTTTTTCTTTTTCCTTTTTTTCTCATTATTTTTTTTTGAATTTTCTGAATTCTTTTTATTTTTCCAGATCTAGTACTTTTTTTTTGCTTGTTTTTGGTATTTTCATTGATTTTGCTAGTTTATTGGCATATGACAAGATTTTTGCAAGACAAATTAATTGAGATTGAAAGAACTTATCTTTGTAATCATAAGAATCAAAAGCACCTTAAAATTAAGGATAGGGTGATTTTTAAAATTTTGTCAGAATCGATTGATAATGTATGAGTAATTTTGGATCTGATGTTGAGTCTTCAGTTAAGTAGGAAAACATGGCTGAAAATAATAATGGTAATAGGACAATTAAAGAATTGGTTGCCCCTAATACCTACTATCAAAATTTGTGCATTCAATATTCTAATTTAGATACAATACTATTTTTGAATTGAAATCAGGTTTAGTACATTTGCTACCTAACTTTCATAGTCTTGCAGGAGAAGACTCGAATAGGCACTTAAAGAAATTTCATATTGTGTGCTCCACTATGAAGCTTTAAGAAGTTTCAGAAGAGCAAATCAAATTGAGGACTTTTCTTTTTTTATTGGATAAAGTAGCAAAAGATTGGTTATATTACTTGTATCTAGGTGCCATTACCTCTTGGAATCATATGATGTAGTTATTCTTAAAAAAAATTCTTACCTACGTCTCACATTGTAGCAATAAAAAGAGATATTTGTGGGTTCTTAAAAATGAATGGAGAAACATTTTATGAATATTAGGAGAGATTTAAGAAGTTATGTGCAAGTTGCCCTCAGCATCAAATATCTAATCAGCAGCTGGTTCAACATTTTTATAAAGGTCTCTTACCTACAAATAAGAGGTTTTTGGATGCCGCAATTGGTGGTGCTCTGGTAAAACTTACTTTAGCTAATGCCATGAGTCTTATCTTTAAAATAGCACAGAATTCTCAACAATTTGGTACGCGGGCTAACCAACAAGTCAAAGGAGTTAATGAGATTCAAGCACCACAATATGATCATATACTTGAGAACAAGATGGAGAGCTCTCTAGTATGGTTAGGCAGATTGGCTTAACAAAACAAAAATTAATAAATTCACTAACAGTGCCTACTTTTGCATAGTCATACCCTCCACAGACATATGTACAACCTCAGTTCTATATTCCTCAGCAGGCTACTTATTGCATCTTCAGCTTTAGTTGGGCCTCTATGTGGCATCTGCTATTTGGTTACACACACTACTAATTAATGCCTATGGTTGGCTAATAGAGTTGAGAATTGTACTGGAATTTTTTCAGCTAGACCTATACAACAGGGCCAAAAATATAATCTTTTCTCCAGTACTTATAATCTAAGATGGAGAGATCACTCTTACTTCAGATATAAAGGAAGTCAATAGCAACAATGTAAAGCTATGGGTTAAAATTCACAACCTATGCAACCAACGAGGCAATCTACTCCTATTCAAGAGTCTAAAAATGATGAACCAAGTCTAGAAAAGTTAATAAAGCAAATGGTAACTAATAACATCCAATTTCAACAATGCACTTAAATAGTGATTCAATAATTGGAGAATCAAATTGGACAATTGTCCACCTTCATTAATAAATTGAAGAGTCAAGGTTGTGGAAAGTTTCCTTCTCAAACAATTGTGAATCCTAACCGCAGTAATGTTAGTGCCATTACTCTTAGAAGTGAAAAGGAGCTTCCAAGGCCCTTTACAACATCTACCAGGGATAAGTTGGTTGTAGTAAAAACACAAGTCACACTTGAGGAGTTTAATGAAGAAAAGGAATAAGGAAGATCCTTCCATTTTTAAATAGAAAGACTCAAAGTAGAAAGCTAAAGGAAGTAGAATTGTAAAAAGAAATGCTCAATAGTTTCAAAAAGGTTGAAGTCAATATTCCCTTTTTGGAGGTCATAAAGAAGATTCCTAAATATGTAAAGTTCTTGAAAGACCTATGCAAGAACAAGAGAAGATTTAAAGCTAATGAGAAGGTCAATGTAGGAGGAAGTGTATAACTTTATTCTATGGAGGAATGCAGTGTCAACCCTTCATGCCTTTGAAATGTAAAGATCCAGGGAGTTTCACTATACCTTATACTATAAGGAATTTAGAATTTTTTGATGCTTTAATTGCTTTGGTGCAACAATAAATGTTATGCCTAAATCTATATTTTCTTCTTTGCATGGTTGTAAGATGAAGCCGGTTGGAATTATTGTGCATTTAGTAGATAAGAGACTTGCTTATCCTAATGGTATACTTGAAAACATTCTAGTCAAAGTAAAGGATTTAGTCTTTCTTGCTAATTTTTATATTTCAGATATAGGTAAAGATGATAGACATGGGCCGCCACCATTAATTTTGGGTAGGTCATTTCTTAAGACAGCTAACACTATCATTAATTTTAAAGAAAATACTTTCTCTATAGAATTTGCAGGACATGTTGTTCAGTTCAATCTCTTAGAGGCTATGAAACATCCTATGGAAGATCATTTTGTTATTATTGTGAGCATACTTGATATGTTAATTGATGATACATGTGATAACCCTTGAGATAATTTTATTGCTGAGTTACTTAATGTGGTCAATTATGAAAACATTATGCATTATACATCTGATAGCTTACATAATTATACTGCATATGTTGAAATGGATAAATTTTCAAACTTTGATGATTCTTTAAATCCTCTTGTTTGCATCAATACTATTAAGTATGATGATCCACTTGAGGCTATTAGTCCATCTATTTATGTTAAGCCTTCTTAATGTGATAATACATATGAGATCGTGCATTCAATGGTCACCTAAATAGAATTAATTTTTGTGATCCCTATGGCCTTTTATGATGGTGTTAATAGTACTAAGAGTCATAGGATATTGATTATATTATGCATCCTGACTCTAATAGTTCTTGTGTAGAGGTTTTTTTTTGTTCCTGTTGAGCTCTATGAGTAGGTACCTATGATTAGGAAAATTCCTTCTACTACATTTAGGCCATCTTCAATGGAGATATTGTCATAGAACTTTTAATTAGATAAAGGGAATGTGCTAATAGCTCCTTTTACAAAAGTTTTGACTTTTACTAATGAGAGTCTACTTAATTTTATTGGTTTTTTCAAATATAGAGACGACTTGTGTAATGTAACATCCTGGATTTTAATTTTAAAAATTTCCACTATCTATAATGATATTTTAGTCAAATTAAGTAGATTTTAGGTTAATAATGTTTTAAGAAGACTAATGTAGTTAATGGATCCTTGAACACCCTTAAAAGAGGGCTAGGTTGAAGTACAAATGAACCATGGCACAGAGAGAGATTTAAAGCATGTTTAGGGATCTTTGTGCCATGCATGATGGATGAGCCAATATGCTGTGGAGCACGTGCAAAATCTGCATTTATCAACTCATGAAATTAGATAAAAAATGAAAAGTGGAAAGAGAGATCGTGAGGAGATGATGGTAAATGATCGATGGCTATATTGAAAGCATTTAGAGCAAGATTTAGCTTCGGGTAAGCTTCTTACACTTCTCCTTCCCCACATATTCTAACTTTCTGATGATTTGGGTACTTTGGGGCTATTTTGTTTTGTTTTCTTGGCTAATGGTTGAACCTATTGCCTTAGTTAAGGTCTTGAAGAGTTAAATCAAGCCTCTAAACCTAGATTTTTAGGTTATACATGATTTGGAGTTGTTGGTTAGGGTTTGGACGAACTATAGATAGAAATTAGATGATTAAGAGCAATGTGTGTAATGTAATGGTGTTATTTATGTATTACGATGTTAAATAAGACTAATGTAGTACGTTGGAATGATTATTAGGGTTAAATGGAGGTTTTGAGTATAATGGGTATCCTAATTATATTATAAAATAGGGTGATTAGTATGAGAATTTTGACAATTAAGGGTTTAATTATGTAAATTAACCTTTGATAGAGCATTGTGGTACTAGTAAACACATGTGGAGCCGTTGGTTGACCATGGTAACCCTTTTAGTAACAAAAGGGTTAAAGTAATTAGATTGTCTAATATCCCTTTTTATGTGTTTGAATGGTAGTATGTTAGATTTAAAAGTAATCTTTTGGTTTGATGCTGGCCTAATAATAATATAAAATTATGATTTTGAAGTTATTTGAAGTGGAATGAAAAGTTGTTTTAAAGTTTTAGTATTTAAAAAGCTAAGTGCTATTTTATACATAATTACTTGTAAAATTCTATGGTTTAAGTAGAAATAAGAAATTGTGATAAATGATATGTTATGGATATGTATTGGATGTATTAAGCTTGTTTGGCATGATCATTGCAAGAGGGTAGGAGTTCACTTTAGTATGTTTTTGAGACATTATTTGAAAATTCATATTGTACACTAGCATCGTAGAGGCCCCGAGGCTTAGTATTATATTGTATGGAAGTCTAGTACTATAAGTGATAGATTAGGCAATGACATCCCTAGTAATTTTGGATAGGGAAAATCTATGGTCCATAGTGGGTGAAGGCACTTTTAGCTGGGGCTGCCCTCCTATTAATGGCGAGCTTAGGCTAATCTTGTCACATGGACTCGGTCCTATTGAATTGTCAGCCTACAGATTTAATTGGAAGATATAAGGAAGATATAAGGTTGTGTGTTGATCGTGCACATCATACTATAACCATATGTGTAGATTTATTAGACATGTTATGATTTATTATGCCACTTCACATACACACAAACTATTCTCACACACGAGTAGTTGATTAAACTATTAGGTTACTAAGTCCTCGACTCATGTTGTGGTTATATTTTATTGGTGAAAGCTTCGATAGGGGTAAGGGAAAGGAAGGTGCAATTGAGCATTAAGGGGACTTTGGTTGAAAAAATTAGACTATTTGTTTAGAAAAAATTGTTACCCCTAGTGAAATTTATGTTGAAATTGGGGTTTTTAGTGGCCAAATCTTGCCTGGACTGTCGTGGTTGTGATTTAAATGCTTGCACAAGTTGTTTGTGATCCATTTGAGTTGGTTTAAGTGGTTCCACAATTATTGATACTTGGTTTGGGGGTTTTGGGAACTTTGGTTGTGATTTTTGAAAGAAAATGAGCTATTTTGGGTTTGGGTGTTTAATTCTCATTTAGCTTGGTGTTTGGGTGTGTAACCGGTGCCAATAGTTAGATGGCTTTAAGAACTACGTGTAGATGCTTGAATCGTCAAAATTGAACATCAGACGATGAAATGGCATACTCCAAAAGTTGGCTTGGAGAGTTGTCATGATAGTAGTTTGCTGTCAAGACAGGGTATGCACGCTACAGTGTTTGTCCATCAGGCTGTGGCATGAGATATAGAGAGGGGGCATGTCCCTTTATGCAGTCCGCCATGGTAAACAATACACTATGTCGCAGTGCACTGTGCCTATGTGACTAAAAATATTTTATCGCTTATTATTTTTATAGCATGATTAATTTCCTATGCTTCTGTTATCTTATTTACTTGGTTTTAAATCGTAGTTTGAGCTCAAATGATCTTTTGAAAAAGGTTTTCTCGAGATCCCATTTTTCTCAAATATTCTTTAACCTTTAGGTTATGGTAACTATTTATGGGATTAAGGTAATCTTGGTTATCATAACATTGTTTCGTGTTTAGTGTTTTGTGTGTTTGGTAATGTCAGGATGACGTTACATGTAATGCCTGGCTTAACATTACTGAGATAACACTCACACTATTGTGATAACCAAGATTAATCAAAATCCTTAAGAAAAGTCATCACAACTCAAGGGTTTAAAAGTAATAAATTTTAAAATATTAGGTCTCAAGAAAACCCTTTTGAAAA